GATATGCCTTTAGGGGAGAGAAAAGCCTTGAAGTCTGGATGTATTCATACTGTTTCGTATCTTATTTACACATACACATTAGTTCTGGACAGAGGAGGTCAAGAGCACAGCCACCCCTGCTTTCCAGAGGCATACTTTACCACTCAGCTTGCAGAAAGCAGCTCAGCCTCAAAAAGTGATTTGAATCATAAATCAGATCTAATGGCAAGCAACTGTATGACTCATGAAATCCATTCCCAGGGACCATTGCCCATACATAAAACCTGCAGCTAACCCAGCATATCTCATAAAAATCAAACATTCACTCTTACAGGAAGAAAACAGGAATTTAAAAGACAAATTCCACAGCTGAGCTCTGACTAGCCCAAATTTCTTCCGATGCTTAACTTTGCCTAGCTAAGGCTTGCTCAGGGTCTTTATGTTTTGCAATGTATGTAAGGACACCACTCAGTGATAACTACATTTGTATAAACAGAGGCTGCATACATCTAATCTGAAAGACCATCCTCTGTGATTAGGTAGGTATATGCCTGTTAAATCCAGTTGCAAACACATGTGCAACTCAAACCACACAGATTGTGACAGGCTGGACTGTGCTGAAGCAGACAAATCGTATATGCAGACAGTGCTCAACAGACATCTCATACTGCTTTCTGATTCCCTAAACTATTCTTAATCAGTGAGCAAGTTTATTTAATTGAGAGCTAAAGTTGATTTTAAGGGTACTAGATGTAGAAGCATCATCTGCAAACATTTGAGATTTCATTTAATATGACTTTGTTAAGGACTAAGAATTCAAAGTAAATATACTACAGGCTAGAGAGCTGAAAGTGGGGAAAAAAAAAAAAGTCCTTAAAAAAAGTCCTAAACCTAGTTCTGCTTCCATGTGTAACTGTGTTTACATCAACAAGTCACCTAATATCTGTGCTAAAATGGAAGTAATGCCCTTACCTCTGTTCCCAAAGGAAGTACAGGGAAGACTTATTTGGAACTGTGGTGTTCTTTGAAGAAATAAAATGCTACAGGAGTACAAGTGCTTTGCATACCTAACAATGGCAAAGGGAGAATTGTACAACTACACTGTGCTGAGAAATTGATGGTTCTATACCTGCATTCCCATCAAAGAGATGCTGATGAGAGTGCCAGGATAAATCTACATAGTCAGTTCTTGCCTGTACTTTCTACTGTATACATTATGTCATTCTGTATTAAAGTTATGTTTGTCTATGCTGCCTTTTTTTTTTTTTTTTGCTTGCACATTAAGTTCAATTCTCAACAAATATTTTTAGGCAGGGAAACAGGTAGTTTTTATTTGTTTAAATAATTTGTGCCTGACATGTTCCTTTGAATATTTACATTCTCAAATTCAATCTTGAAAATGGAGCATAATTTTAGGCAACAATCATGCTGTACTTTAAATTCCATCTCACTGTACTGCCTCTTTTCTTCTTAATCTGTGATTATTTGTCCTCTTCAGTAAACTTGTAGAAAGAGCTCGTTATATCTGTTAGAAGTCTGAATAAAATGTATCACACACTTTTCACCACTATTTTCATGAAGCATTCAAGCAACAAGATGATAAGAGAGAACTTTCTTCTTTTCCATGTTGCCAAAAAAAAAACCCCACCCCAAAAAAGCCCGAAGGACTGGAGCAGAGGTTATTAATGGGTAACAGAAAAGCTTTCTCATTTCATCAAGTAACAAACATTCACAACAGTTGTTAAATCCTAATGAAGAAAATGCCCCATCATTAGAAAAAAGAAAAAAAAAAGTGTTTTATTGCTTTCTTTAAAGTGATATGACTTGAGTCCTAATTCATTAGTAGCAAAACTCAAAGATCTGAAGAATTCTGTATCATTTCCTTATTATATGCTGTGACTTACTGTCAGTTTGTTTTATTATGGTATTTATTATGGAAATTACTTCACAACCTAGCAATGACAGGCAGTAACTTAAACTCATTAACCTATGAAGTACCTACTACTAGTCAGATATTTACTAATAATGAGCTAAATGTCAAGAAGTCAGAATACAGTCAGAAGCCTACATTTTCCAACTCTAAAGGCAAATGCCAGATACGAGATTCTTTACAGGTAGCAAACTTCTCTATTTAGAAGAGAATCTAGTGTACCATTGTTACTGTTTAAGCAGTTACGTGGTCAGCTATGCCCCACTAATTGAGATGTTTTCAGATAATATTTGTAGATATAACCTGGCTCTAAAGGCATCTGAAATTACAGACTACCCACCTTTCTTCAGACCTCATTACATGTAAGATTATTATCTTTCTCACCTTGCTTTTAACTAAATGGAAACAGCTACACCGAGAATACAGAGACTGTTCTGCTAAATTACTGTATTCCTGATGGCAATATGGTGTAAAATACTATTAGCAATCTAGCAATTGGTGGGACTTTTCCCCCTGTGATCACTTGCTAAATCCAACAGTTATTTTACAAAGCACTTTGTTAACCAGGCAGAACAATTCTTTCAGGCCGATATAGGTTAAGCCATTCACAGTTTAGAGACCTACTTACTAGAAAGACACAATTAGAAATAGGTATTGTCAAATGTAAATATGAGGGGACTGGCATTAACCAGGATGCCAGTCTCTGTCACTCTCTACAAGGGACTGCAAGCCAAACAGCAAATCTAGCTCCTCACCCAGATCAGCAGAAAAACTGGTCGTACTTTTGAGGAGATTGGGAGGAAAGGGTGAAGGGAAATGGGTCTAAGTTGAGTTTAAGTCAGAACAGTGAAAACTGTGTAGGAATACGTTGCCATCAAAACCAAATTAATTGTAGCCCAACTGTTCTGATTTGTTCCTCCTGACTTTTCTTACAGCTCCCCTAGAGACCAGGCTTTCAGGACCTCTTTCCACCCCATCTGGGTGCTGTTCAGTTCTGTCTGAAAAAATGTTTTTATGGAGTAACTTATTCCCTGAAATATGGGGAAGATTATTTTGTCATGGAAGTTCAGCAGGAGTGGTGGTCCTACTCACATCAAGCCGTGTGCTGAGTTGTCTTATAGAATCATGGAACAGATGCCCTCTGAAAAAACCCAGCAATTATTCTGAAAACAGTATTTCTGCACCTGAAAAGTGAGCAGTTACAGATGTAAACAGAATTATTTTGATGTTCTGGGTTCTGATCAATGTCACACTTCCTGTTTACCTGCTTTTGAGTTGTAGTTACAATTCGCTTTAATGGCTTTTCATAGCATTTGTTCCTTATGTGAACATGGCTTGTTGGTTAGTTTATCTGTTGTTATATTGAAGCAGATATAGTTGGTCAAATAAAAGCAGCTGATATGTAAGAACTAGAGACAAAACTGAAGCTAAATAAGCTATTTCAGCTCTACAAAATGAGAGCTGTTCCTGATTTAAACTGACCTTTATTATCACCTGCTGCTCTGAGCAGCCCACCAGCATTAGGGAGGCAGTTTCATTCTGCAATTGTAGGGGAGAGCAAAGCAGTACTTGAAAGAAGTAATGACTCTTCCATTTGATCGTAAACTTGCAACTGTGATATTGATTTTAAAGAAACTTTACTCTAAACTTTGTGCGTAAAATTATTTTGATCTATAAACCTTCAAAGGCATGATAAGAAGCTGAATCTAAAACCAGGCCTTTTATATGGAATATATCCTTTGCAGGGTCAAATGTTTTATTGTATTATTACATCAGAGAAAAAGCATGTAAGGTTAATATTGTCACTTGAATTGTAGGAAAGAGATTAATCTCTTATTTGAAAATGTTTGGGTTTTTTTTTTCCCTGAAATACTCTCCTGTAACCTTAGTGGATCCAATTGTTTTTTTAATTTTGCCCCGCTCTTTTTTTTTTTAGGATGGCAGTTCTGCTACTGCAGTGTAACAGGCCAAGAATTACTGTGAATCAAAATGAAAATGTTTTATGTAGCCAGTGTAATGGTACTTCAGCCTAATGAAGAGTACTTCTGTTTCACAGATAATGGGAACAGAAGGAGAAACCTGCAAGGGTAGTGCAAGAGCCTTGCAGATTACAGTGGCCACTAGTTTACCCGTTCTGTTCACCTTGGTGTTTGTTTCACTTCATCTATTCATGCAGCTATACAAATTTCTAACCATGACTATTTCTGACAGCATACTGAAGCAGATCTGTAAGAAACTACAGCTTGATAACCCTATGCTATTTTGAGAGGATTAATGTAATGTATTCCATGCTGATATTACGCACTGATGATTTAATACAAGCGTGTTACTGTCAATGCTATTATTTATATTTTATAGACTAGATTAAAGCACTGATGGTGTGAGCATATTGACACTACATAGCCTAGACTATGTCCAGTACATATATATTCCAATTTATAAGAACAGCAAAGAATTCCCACTCTGACACTTTTGCTGGCCAGTATTTGTAATTCCTTGTTGGCTGTACTATACAGCACATGACAAAATCACTCTAATTGGCCAAGTATCAGGAAAAAAAAAACACGCCAGGTTCCCCATTGCCCTGGTGTAATCACTCTTTGTAGTTCAGCATCCTCTGTAACAACTTGTAGCTTATGTTGCATTCCAAGGGTAAACACATTCAAGTTTAGACCAAAGACTAATTTCACCTTTATATTGTAGTTCATTTCTAGAATTTACTCCAATATTGCCTTTCCACTACTAACAGCTTATTATACTATATTTACTTCGGAAGCAGTTCAGCACGCACAGTGGTTGCCTATATATTGTGCTGGAACTGCGCAGCTGGACACTGAAAAAGCTGTTCCTCACAAAACTGATATGGGCCAGTTAATCATCTCAAGTTGTCTTGGGTTCTCCATGTTCATGTTCTACCAACTGAAACAGTATAGTAGCACTTCTGTGACATTGTTAACCATATCTCAACATAGATTAAAACTGAGAGGTTAGAATATGGAGAAGATATTAAGGTATACCTATAAGCAGATATGAGAAGAAATGCAAACTACGCAGAATATCCATTTCAATTTATCAATTGCTCAATTAACAGGAGGAGGATCAGTCAAGTTTTTCTGGTTATGAGAGCACAGGAGGTGAGTTTCTTTTTCGGTATCATTTGCCATTTAATTTTGAAACCTTTGGTTTCCCCTTGTATTTAAATAGTTGCTTAGAAGGTAAAGTGAATTCAGGTTATTTATATTGTGAAAGTTATGTCTCAAAGGATTTTATCACGTGAATTCTCTTTGAATGCAAATTAAAGCTTGTAAAAGACATTTCTACACTCTTTAGGCCAGTGGATACAAAATTATTAGAAAATATTACTGTTAAGCAGCATCAGATCTCATAGGTGTTTTCAGAAATTAGCAGTTAGGGAAAGCTTATTGGAATGTATGAGCTGCTAAGAGTCTAAGAGGAATGAAAGGATTAATCAAAATCTTTTATGGCTAACGATATTATGTAATAAGAAATGTACGCGCCACATAATAAAAACCAAAATTGTATGTGGTAAATGAATGTGTTTTGTAAGTGATTAAGTCGAGATATAATAAAAGTCCAGCAGGTTCAGATGGTGCAATATCACCTTCTGTACTGGTATAATCAGGCCAATGACTGGGACTCAGACTAGAAGGAACTGCTTTTTTAAAAAAAATCAGATTTCAGTAGAAGGCAAAACCGTAGTACATACAGCAGTTTTGGTGCTAAAATGGGAACAATACCTGGGTTTCATTTAAGGGGATTATTATTTGGCTCAATTTGATGCTCAGGGGAATTTAAGACTAGATCTCAGATGTAGTGCACCAAATATAAAATCGGAATGGGATGTGGACAAACTTCTATAGCAATTATAATGTAATAATATATTCAGAGAAAAAATGCAGTTGCTCAGGAGGCATGTTATTACATCAAGATGCATCTGCTTCTCTTTTTCTTTCTTTTTTCTTTCTCCTTTTTAAAGGACTGATGGGTATGTGCAAGGTCTAATTTTCAGGTAGAATATTTTTATCATATCTGCAATGAGAACTATGAAACTGGGAGATAAATAGCCTTGTGGATAATAGCTCCTTTTGGAATACAGAGCATTACAGCAGAAAATAAATCTAGTAAAATCAGATCACCTTGCATGAGTATTACACAATTCAGTGTGGAAGGTAGATTAGATTAAAACCAGTAGCTCTTGCCAACTAAAGAATTTTTATTTTCATTTTAGACTTTTCAGAAGATCTGAGGAAATCAAACATAATTTTTGTAGTCGGTAAGTAGGATTCCTAATTTAACTGCTACATTTGAAAATCCCCATGTTATTTAGTTTTGATTATAAGTATATGATTTCTTTTAAAGTTTAGCAGAACAGTTTGGTTAAGAGTATTTGCACTACAATGGCGGTTTAGTCTTTTGAAAGGGAGTTAGGATTTAGTATCATGTTATTAACCTGAGTCTGACCATGCTAACAACAGTTATGTAAAGCTCAGTGCAGGAGGTATGCTTAAGTGTGAACATACTCAAACATACTCAAAATGACCTTAGTTACTGTGCAGTTATGGTAGTGCTGTGTGATCTCCCACAGCAAAGTTGCCCCAACCAGCATTAGTTAAAACATTACTAGATTGGATTTATAACTCAGAATTTTAAGGTTTAGGTGAAAAAAAATCATGTCTCTTCACCTCTTCATTTGTGAAACAACTTTTGTAAATACAGGTTTCAATTCTGCATGTGCTCAACATGCTGTTAAAAGGTCAATGGGCTAGTCACCATGCATGATACATGCTAGTGCACGATGCACTGTGCGTGCCAGTCAGCATGCACTGAGGCTTTCCAGGTTCAAGGTTTACTTTATATTTGTTTTCTGGAAGTCCACAGAGGAAAAGCACCATGTTAATGCCCATTATTATATAAATATGACTAATGTAATTAGCATAAACTTCGAACAGCCTTTTAAAACAAATTATAACCAGAAGATTTAGAAGTTTCAGCTTAAAGCTTGGTACTAGTTACTTAGAAAGAATAATTGCTTTTGTCTCAGGCAGAATTTTTCAGAACTGCTTTACAATACAGAGCAGGAACAACACATTTCCAAGGGCCTAAGGACAGATGCCCAAACATGGGTAATTTTACATAAGAGCAAGTCACTTTGCGCATTTTTTTCCTAAGGGGAAAAAAAAAAAAATTAGTCATAAATGAATGGAAGTTTCATCCAGAATTCAGGAGGCATCAAAAAACATTCCAATACCAGCGGTTGAGTGAGGTGATCCTCCCTATTCAGCACTGGCCAGGCTGCATCTCGAGTACTGTGTCCAGTTCTGGGCTCCCCAAGTACAAGAAGGATAATGACTTACTGGAGCGAGTCTGGTGCAGGACCACAAAGATGTTTGAGTGACAGGAGCATCTTTCGTATGATGAGAGGCTGAGAGAGCTGGGATTCTTCAGCCTGGAGAAGAGAAGGCTCCAGGGGATTTTATCGATGTGTATAAATACCTGATGGGAGGGAATGAAGATGAGGGAGCCAGAATCTTCTCAGTGTTGCCCAGTGACAGGATGAGAGAAAATGGGGACAGCTTAAAATACATTAAATTCTATCTGAACACAAGAAAACACATTTTTATTGTGAGGGTGGTCGAACACTAGAACAGGTTGCCCAGAGAGCCTGTAGGGTCCTGAACGGCTGACCCTGGTGTAACAGAGGTGTTGGACTAGATGATCCCAAAAGGTTCTTTCCAACCTAAAGGATTTTGTGAAAAGATGGCGTGTTTATGTGTTGTACTTTTATCTCACCCTATCTTATAGCAAATATGAGTTGACTGAATTTATTGGAAACCTATGGTGGATACTATGTGTTTGAAAAAGTAAAATTAGGTTACTGAAAAGTTCCTTGGAGACTTTTCTTAAGGGAAAGATGCACAACACTTAATTTTCAGTCTTTAAGCAAACTGTAATTCCATGCTTACTGAAGTACATCTTCCTGCTGTTTGCTACAGTGACAAATTTTCATTCTCTCTGCCTCACATCTCTCATTGGAAAATTATGTTTGGGTTTGTACAAACACAGATTTTTAAAATAGTGAAGATGCTCAAGGAATTTTGCCTCTGAAATTGTTGATGGTAAAGCATATGTTTCATTTACCTCTGGGCTGCTTTTTCTTTTTCAAAGAGTGTTTTTTAGTTTTCATTTATAATTTTTTATAGGCCATCTACTAGCCATCTTCCAGTTTAAAAGTGAAAACACGCCTTTTCCCTATTTATTCCTGCTCTTAAATCCATCTCAAACTTTCCAGTAAATGCTTTCTAGGTACAGAGGAAAATTCTGCTTCATCAAAAAGTCTAACTTTTCTTTGTTGAAAATGTTATAATGAGAAGTTTGACTAAGTCCAAACATGGGTTACTTGTCAACAAGTTATGTAGAATGATTTATACTTTTTCCCAAAATATCCCCTTCCCCAACCCCCAACCTCCCACCCCTGAAAAAGCTTCTAGGAGTCTGATGTGAAGAGTGGGGGTATATCTTTTTCTAGATTTTTTTTTTTTTTTTTTCCGTGACCAACATGTGATCTTCACGATTGCTTATTTGGCTGCAAAAATCTTGCTTTTACTCCATCTGGGTAGTGAAGACAAATGGTATTTCCCAGAGACAGATTTCTTGCTGGTGCTAGGTTGAAGTGGCCACAAGCCTATTTTAGTTATGGCCTTTTCAGGTAAATCTGCCCGAATCACTTGTTGACCCACATGCACTCCAGGTTTAACGTTATATACACTAGCAAAATGCATACCATTTGCCTAGGCAGTAAAGTTGTCTTACACATCAGTCAAGAGTGGAAGTCTGATCACTGTGGATTGTACAACAACAAAAGAAGACTTTGAAGAAGCCTCACAGGAACAGAACAAAACTGTCAAGGTTGGGGGGTGGGGGTGGAAAAAGAAGAAGAAAAAAGGCACCACAAATTCTCAGTGGCTGAGTACTCCATTGCAGTGGACAGCTCTAGAGATGTTCAGCCCATGCTACCTTGACTAGAAAGAAGGCAGACAAAATGCGTTGGAGCATGCTGCTAGTGATACTTGAATGGGAAAAACTGTCTTGGTCTCAGGTGTCATTAGGAATGTTTACTCATTACATAGATTTATTCGTGAGGAAATAATAAGATGCTTATAAAGATGTTTTAAAACTAAAGTTCTAAAGATGTGCATCTGAAGTGGTTTACAAACTAATTGAAATAAACACACCATCTGCCATAGCTGACAGATTGAAATACTGTTTGTAAGACAAAGAGAAAAAAGCAGACAATACTAATTGCCCCACTAATTTCCCTTTAAAATTGTCCAAAAAGGGAAAGAAAAAAAAAAATCTAATTAGCAAAGATTTACATTAGCGCTAACGTAGGAATTAATTGGAACGGCAGTCAACTTGGATTAATTAAGGAACAATTTCAATGTTTTATCCAGACACCAAAGCAGAGACATAGAACCAGCAAGTCAAAAATATGGGAGATAAGAACAGGGTAATAAAAGAGGCAAAACCAAGTTAAATTTGGCCTGTAAAGTAAAATTCAAGAGAAAAATAAAAAATGCAAAGATAAATTTGGGGGATGCTCTAATATTCAAAACTTATATAATTATTGCCAGTCACTAAAAAAAACCCCCACCAACCAACCAAACCTTTTTCATCAGAGCAACATGAAAAGTAAAATCTTAACCACAATGAACAATGTATGATTTTATCATTCTTAACATTATGAAAATAAGGTCTAGAAATTGAAACTTTTAAAATGAATGGTGGGACTCTCTTGTAAATCCTGCTGCTGGCATTTTATGTAAATATTCATAGTATTTTGGTATATGATGAACTCATAAAATCTGGCAAGTTTAAAATAGAGACATCGCAGGCTGTCTGTATGACACTTCTGCTTTATTAATACTTCTGGCAGCAAAGCCGGTTCATGAACTGCTCACACTGCTTGTTCCTGTCCCTGCTCGCTGCCAGCGGCTGTCCCAGCTCCCTCTGGCATCATTAATTCATCTGCTTGTGATGTGCTCTAGGCCAGACCGGTGCATTTGAATGACATGCCTAGGCTTGCGGTCTTTCATCATCTGGGGAGGGCTGGAGCATGAGGGAGAGCAGGTGTGAGAGACTTGGTTTCTTAAACTGAGATCTTTCACTGATCTAAGGCAGACTGCAGTTAAACATTGAGAAGTGCTGCTTGGGCAGTTGTCATTTCTCCCTACCCGCTGAGACCACTCTTCTTCTCCCCTTGAAGTGCTCTCTGTGACAGATTTCTGCATTCAGTAATTAAATGGGGAAAGGTGACCACCTAAGTCAGCAGTGCTGCGAGAAAGTTATTTACCAGCAGATCCCCTTACACAGTTTCACAGGCAGCTGAATCAACATAATGGAAGGGAAAACTGCGCTAAGGGAGCGCACAGACCTTTTAATGCAGCCTTGTCTACAGAAAAGCAATATGCAGAACTGCATTTAATTTTTATGCTCTGTCTAGTACCCTGGTTCCAGATACTTGCTTAATGTTTGCATCAGAAAGCACAAAGGGACAAAGTATTCCGTTTCCAAGAACAGTCTTTGCTGACTGATACGATGTGCTTAATTTCTGAATCTGCAATTTTTTACTTTTTGTGCAGTTAATGAACGAGCTTTAAGCAAGATGTACTGCACTTACAATACTAGCATAATACAAAAGCATTTTAACATTGAAGAACTGCTGGTAGTTCTTCTACATTCTCCTACAGGTCACAGCATACTCGGAATTCCTCTGGCCATTTTCTAGGCTTTAACTCTATCTTCATGTCATGTTACCGTGAATCAGTCTGTCACTGGCTAACACATTTTTTTTTCAAAAAATACATAGGTAGAGTAAAAGATGACAGCATACAGAAAAAATGAGAGCATTCACAAAGAATCTTATGGCTTCACAACAAAAGTGGGGACATATTTTCCTCCTCCTAATAATTGAGCCGTTGGGAAAACTTCACAACCTTTTTCAATGTCTTGAGTTTTTTTCTGTTTGAAAAACAGCATAACAAGTTGCAGTGAAGCCTTCTTAACTGAAAATATCTTTGTGCTAGTTTTTGTTCTATTTAATATGCAGCTGTTGTTCCTTATAAGCTTTCTTCAATTAAATTATTATATTTCCTCTCATTTTTTAGGAAGATGCATAGATTTAATAAAGAGACCCTCTAAAAAGAGCAAAATACAAATTTTACAACACTACAAATTGATAAGAAGCCTCATGACTGCAGGGTTAATTTGCTGTTAAAGCTGCTTATGTAGCAGTCGTATGAGTATGTACCCTGAGTCGGAAGGAAGTAGCTCATGAGCAAGGAAATGCACTTTCACATTCTTTCCCACCTAAATAGCTCTTTTTCAGTCCCATTAAATACTGGCCTTCAGAGGGAGACAAGACATTAACTAATATTTGAACTTTAGGCATGTAAATTAATACTGATGTAAATTAATACTGGTGTAGATGCTGAGTACGTGTTCCGCCCTCAATGCTGAATTTCCTGGGGACATTCAGCCTCTTCTCAGATAAGGACAAGCAAGAACTGCGGTCTCATTCATTGATAAGAAAACACAAGACTTTGTAAAGTGGGTCATATACATTTGTCAAGCAGTAGGATGCTTTGCTACTCATCAAGTGATACTAAATAATAGCAGTGGCCATAAAAATTACCATTTTCAGCACATAACTGTTATTTAATTATGTCTTTTCCTCTTCAAAGAGTTCAGCATTCTAATCTCAGCTTTGTTGGAACTCTTCTATAAAAAATAAACATGGTCACTTTTAATTAATGTTTTGGAGGCACAGTAATACTCATTATGGTGTATGCCCTGCATAATGGGTCATTCTGACAGCGTTCTCTTTTAAAATACTAACAGATAAAGGTATTACAGAAACACATCAGCTTTTCTGAACATTTACCTGCTAGCTAAACAACCAAAAGTTACCCTTGCATTGTTATTTCTAAAAAGAGTTCTAGTTTATTTAGTATATGAAGGGACATTATGAAATTTCTGGTTTCGCTCTACATCCAGAAGAGAAACAGTTATATAAGAAACAGAATAAAGTAATCTTTATAGCCGATTTTTTTCTAATGCTGTCTATATACACCAAATAAATAGGATTAAATTACTGCACTACTAGTATATTCAAGGCCAGGAGACAGAATGTGTAAACAAGAATATGCACACACAAACTTACTAATCTAAAAAACCAAACCAGACCAGAAATAAAATTAATTGCCACTACAGATATTTAACAGTCTCATTACAGATAATTTGCCTGTAATTTCTCTGAATCTATTTCTCTGTAGCCGCTCTTATTTATTCCTTGTTTTCTTTCAATTGGTGCTTTCACGAAAGCATAATTTTCTTCTCATTAAAGCAATAGAAAAATAACATGCAACCCACATTGGAAAGAAAATGAGACTGCGACAAAGATATTTCTAGCTAAAATTGTAGCACAAGTGTAATTCTCACACCATGCGCTGATAATTGTCTTTGTGAAGCTGAAGTAAAAGACTCCAGGTTACAGCAGACAAAACCATTCCTCTGATGCTACTGCCTTACGACCCAATTTTTATTCTAAGCTACAGTACTGTAACTTCTCTGAAAATTATATGCTTGGAGCAGTTATTTCTTAAATTAAATGAAAAAGTTAGAAAAAAGTTCAAGTCAGGAAGAGATGGTGCCAAATTCACCCTATTGTGAACACATTATTCCTATATTTATTTGTGGAAATATAACCAAAAAGGAAAATCAGGTATTTTCTAGCATCTTAAGTCCACATACTAGAGCTGTGTAGTCATACTTGCAAGTCCCAACAGTTGATAAATACACAAGTCACCTGCTTAAAAACTGTATTGAAAGATTTTGGTTTTGTTTTGTTTGTTGGTTTTTTTTTTGTTATGGCCTTGCCTCTTCTTTTGATTTTCGAGCACTGTCTCCCTACAAGGGTAGAATTACCTCCTACTGCATCAGATCTTCTGAGTAGGTCCATCAAAGATTGTAAAAATGCTGCTACACAAATGCTGCTCCCCAAATCCTGATACTGTCACAACGAAAATCTGCTTTCCCGGCCTCCCCCACCACCGGCACCAACATGGCCCCTCAGCCCTGCCCACCCAGGTCAGCCCTCGTGGGGTGCTCACCTCCGCTCCGCCAGCAGCTCTGGAGGCCACAGCCGCAGG